ACGCATCGAAGACGGAGTCGGCCTACTCGTTTGACCACTACGCCGTCGCCATCGATGTGGAGTACCCCCAACAAGGCGGCGCGGGTGAAGGCAGAGTTTTGGGTAAGTCTCCCTCGCACAACATTGCTCAATACGTCACATTCATTGGACTTTTCTTGAAATAATGAATGGATACATCGCTTTTGTATGCAGACTTATTATAGATGCGAGGAGGGATTTGAGTCCAGGGCAGAGCAGGTGACTACCAAAGCCTGTAAAAAACTCGTCACCGACATGCATCACAAGGTGCGCATCCAGGCCATCGTAACCTACTACGGGTCGAAGCTTGGAGAGAGGAAAACCAAGAAAGACACAAGAGAGATGCAGCTGACCCGGGAGCAATACCTTGAGGTAAATGAAGAACATCAATATTGATTTGTTTTGAGATTAAGTTGGTTTAATTTGATCTTCTTATATGTCCAATACTTGATGACGTGTAGATGATTCCCTGGTGGTGCCAAGCGTATCCCGAGTGCTGGGCGATGATGGTGGAGAGGTGGTTCATGGAGGAGTGCCTCAAGATGCACAGGGATGCCCGGGACCATCATTTGCAGATGCAAGGTCCAGCACACCATCAAGGCAGCCGCAGCCTCGCCGGATACAAACAAGCATGGGTACGTGAATTCATTTATCTATTGTGACGCTCAGTTCTGCCTGATTTCTAATCATCGTGCTGTCTTTCTCGCAGTCGGCGTCACATAGTGGCCAGGCTTGCTCGGACTTCCAAGCATGGTGTATGGCCCACAAGGGCAAGGCGACGTCCGACATCTCCTTCAACCTGGAGGACCCGCCTGAGGCATACACGAACCCGAGCGTCCACTCCTACATCAGCGAGTACACTGAGGTGGCAAGGTCGCTCCATGGGTCAGACCACGATCCGAGCACCCAGGACTTCCATGGAGAGGCCGTCATGAGGGCGGGGCAAGGCAAGAAGCATGGGCGGTTCTGGCTTGGCGATGGCGTCATCAACACGGCCTCTACTCCCTCTCTCTCCCAGATCCGAGCATGGAGCATGAGCGAGAGCCCGGCCATTCGCACACAGCCAACCGCTGCACAGCACCAAGTCGACGCACTCGAGGTTATTCCTGTTTTACTCGTCATACATTGATCTTTACACACCTTAATTAGCTTTGCATTACTGAAACATTGGAGTAAAATATTGCAGGCCCGGCTAGAACAAGAAATGAGGCAACGTCAGGAGCTGGAGGCCGGGCAGCAGAGGATGGTGGCCCAGCTGGAGGCCGAGCGGGCCGAGTGGCAGGCCCAGGCGCAGAGGCTGACGGACATTACAGAGTTCCTACAAGGGCTTGGGCAACGTGTGGGCTTCTCTCTGTCAGCTGGGCTGTTGGTTCCACCTCCGCCTCCGCGTCCTACAGCTGCAGCAACTCCTGTGAGTATGAAAGTTTTTTACTTTTGCTTGTGCTTTGCTTGTATGACCTCTACCTTCCTAGATTAGCTATCTAAATAATCTTGTCTCACATGTAATCTTTTCTCCTTTGTGCGGTCTCCATCTAACGGTGGTTCGAATAATCCACCTCATGCACCTCTGAATGATGGAGCTGGACCTTCACCACAGTCGCAGTGGCCGAGATGAGTGCACGTTGTATTTTTTCATTTGTTGTTCACTTGGTGATGGACTTGTGATATACTTGTGATGCACTTGTGGACTTTGATGGACTTGTGATGAACTTGTGGATTTATTTGGATGGACTTGAGCACTTATTATTATATATGTGATATATATTGTGATGGATGTGATATGTGCGGATGGATGTGTGGATGGATGAGATATATATGTGATATATGTTTGTATGAATTTATTTGTCATGATGGAATGTAAAAATAAAATAAAAATTGTCGTTTTAGGTCACTTTGCCGAGTGTTGCACTCGGCAAAGGACCCCGTTGACGAGTGCCATGGTCACAGCACTCGGCAAAGCTGGAAAAATGGGCGCTCGGAAAACTATTTTTCCAGCTTTGCTGAGTGCTATGACCATGGTACTCGGCAAAGAATTTAAAAAAAAGTCAAACTTTGCCGAGTGCCGGCCAGAGGGCACTCGGCAAAGAATTTTTTTTAAAAAAAATCAAACTTTGCCGAGCGCCAGCCAGGAGACACTCGACAAAGAATTTTTAGAAAAAAAATTAAAACATCTTTGCCGAGGGTCGGATACAGGACACTCGGCATAGAATTTTTTTAAAAAAATAATAATAAATCTTTGCCGAGTGTCTGCAGGGTTGGCACTCGGCAAAGCGACCGTCAACGGAGCCGGCGCCGTGACGGTCGCTTTTCTTTGCCAAGTGCCCCCATGGCTCTCGGCAAAGCCTTTGCCGAGTGCCCGATAAAATACACTCGGCAAAGAGGGCTTTGCCGATCAATTTTTTGCCGTGTGTTCTTTGCCGAGTGCCACACTCGGCAAAGGCTTTGCCGAGTGCAATTTGGCCAGACACTCGGCAAAGAACTTGAATCCAATAGTGTATGTTTGTGATTGATGACCGTGCACCTGGCATGTGAGCCCACATGTCATCCTTCTAGCATTTCCTTACACACTCCCTCGTGTGGGCGTACTCCCTTCATCTTAATTTTTATTATTGTGATTGGTGTTTCTCAGAGTGCTTCTGAGAAGGAAAGGCTATATTTTGATTGGTGTTATTTAGACTAATAGTGTGTACATTAAGCTAATGTAGTTGAATCTGTTTATTATGGAACCTTAGTACATATAAATACTTAGGAATATTTGAATATGGATACAAAGACTTCTCTTTTGAAATGTGTACATGGTTTTTGTAGCGTGATTCATTTACGATGACAAAAATTTTAAGGTGCTTTACAATTTGATTGGCAAAGCACCGTGAAGCATGCATAAGAATATAAACTAGATAATTGTCCGTGCTTTACAGAGCAACAAAAATTACACGAGACCTTTATAGCCAAGCCAAAATCAAGACCACGATAATTTAATTTTTGCACGCATGTTGTATATGACAATGACCAGATATGATCGCGTTAGCCAACGTCTCATTATCTTTGTCATTCGTCCTGAACCATATAATGGTGTTAATTTCGTGCACGATAGGCTGTTGGAATGGGCCAAATCACTATAGATGTCCACGCTTCCGGCCCATACATCATGAGGTGTTGTATTCATAACTTGATAATGCTTGGCCACATGTGTCCGTCCCATCTGGACGCCACGTGCCTCACTCCGCTCGCTGCTGCGGCCTTCTCCCACCGCGCGCCCCATCCTGCGCCGCTCGCTCGCTCGCTTCTCGCTCCCGCCCGTCGCGCGCCCCACCTACACCGTTCGCTCCTCGCTCCTCTTTCTCTCCCGCCTGTCGCGCACCCCACCCTCCCTCGCTCCTCACTTCGCTGTGCGCCGCACCGCCCGCTCCCTCCCGTAGTGCGCACCGCCCGCCCGGCTAAGCATGCTATTGGTGGTGGTGCTCACGCACCGCTGCTGGCCGTTGGATCCCACCCCGACGACCGGAATCAACCGGCCTCGGCTTTCCCCTTCCTTATGTTGCAAATATATGTTTTAAGTGTTTCAGATGTTTTAGAGGTATGTTACAATTGTTATATATGGATGTTGCAAAAGTAGATCGGGATGTTGCACATATTGCATATATTCCAAGTGTTTTCAGAGGTATGTTGCAAGTGTTTGTTCAAAATATTTCATCGGATTTAGACTTATGTTGCAGCAAGTGTCTTATCTGGATGTTGCATACATTTCACACATATGTTCCAAGTGTTTTATCTGGATGTTGCATATGTTTCATACACATGTTGCAAGTGTTTTATCTAGATATTCATATGTTTCACACATATGTTGCAACAATATGTTTCATTTGTGTCACATGTATATATTGCATCAAAGTGTTTCATATTGCAAGTGTTTCACGGGGGGGGGGGCACGGTGAGTGATGGGCGCACGGCCCGGGCACCGGGGATGGGACACAACGAGCTAGGGGCCGGCGGACAAGCGCAGCGTTAAGGGCGGCGTACACATGCAAGTCGGAGCGAGGCAGGCAGAGGCAAGCTGCGCAGGTGTCCGGATGTCCTGGTGCTAGCCACGCCATTCATAGTTTGCTCCATGGCGTTTGTCCTAGCCTGTGACCACACCTGTGTGTATACGTCCCCCATATTTAATTTTCAGTAAGCATGCAAGCGTGGCAAGCTAGCGTAATTGTTGTTAATTTGCACGCTCGATTGATTTCCTTCCTTCGCTCATTCCTTGGATATATGCTAAGGCGGCTTCCTTGTAACTCACTTTCCATCCTCGTGCCATTGCCAGACGGGCAACATATCTGTGTTTTGGAAACAAAAATCAGATGGAGAGAGGTGCCGCGTAGACCGTTGACATTTGACACAAGCTCCTTTAGTTGTAGAAGATTGGTCATGTTGTTCAGCACTACTTCATCAGTACTTTTCAACGAACGAACAAGAGTTTCTCTCTCACAATAAATCAGCATAATCATCCGCATAAGCCAAATTTCAACGAAACAAACAGGGCCGGAGATATACACAGATATAAATACAATGCATGCATGGGCTGAAATTAAATCATGAGTTGCAAAGACATACTGTATCCATTCCAAATTATAAGTCTCTTTAACTTTTTGGGTTCCTCCATTTTGTTATGTATCTAGACATATTATTATTATATCTAGATGCACAGTAAAATGGATGTAAAAAAAGTCAAATCAACTTATAATTCGGAACGAAGGGAGTATATACTAGAGCATCCACCGGCTAGAGCAGCCGATCATATCGACGATTATAACGACCAAAGCAAAGAACTAACAGAGAGGAAGAAGAAACACAGTATGTAATGAACCGGCAAAAGACAATGACAATCAGTTGACTACGGACGACTGAACCAGATAATTTATTCTATTTTGGTCGAAGCTGCATGCCCGTTCGCTGGCCGGGTCAGGTAGCTCAGTAGTGCGCGCGTGCCTCTCCATTTAGTGGCACTTGGCGTTTGGGAGGTTGCACTTGGAAGGGATGGCCTTGGCGCAGCTGGCGTAGGCGGGCATGGCCTTGAGCTTGTCCCAGTAGTTGCGGCAGAGGCAGCCGAAATCGGCGTCTCTCAGCGCGTCGCAGCACCCCTGGCTCGGCGTGCCGCTCGAGCAGGACGCGCCGCACTGCTTCAGCACCGTGTCCTTGTCGACCTTGCAGATCTGTTCGGCCTCGCCCGCTGCCAGGAGCAGAGCCAGCAGCGCCACGACCGCCATGGCCACGGCCACGGACTTGTTGCACACCCTTCTCCCGGCCATCGGATTGACAGATGTCTTGGGCTCTTGCTTGGCTTGGCTAGCTACTGTCGGTAGTAGGCAGCGCTCAGTCTGTGTGTGTAGCCTGTGATCTGCACTTGCGATTGCGATTGCTCGAGGGATGGAGGCTTAGATATATAGCGTGGTCGGGGATCGACGGATACTAGGATCAGTTCAGAGGTGCCCCGTGAGTCCGTGACGACGTGCTTGCATGTGCAATTGTGCTCGCGAGCTGGCCTCCGGCCGTCGGCACCCGAAAAAGTGTCCGGCCGGCCGGTCACGGGCAAGACGGACGGAATCATCGCCGCACCGACCATCTGCAAGGCTGCACCAAGCTATGGTTGGTTGGCCGTTCATTCGCATGTGCGCACGCTTGCTGTACGTGGCGAGATACCGTCTCCCTAAAACTACGCGACCCTATACGTACGTACGTAATGCAGTTGCAGTCTTGCAGAGTGCAGTGCAGAGGCAGGCGCCGTACCAATGGGCAAGACGACGGTAGCGGCGGGCGGCAGTGGTTTCTTGCTGGAATTTGGACGCATCTCGCGTGCCGTCTTATGCGTAGTCATCAGCGGGGAGCACGGGTTGGCGTACCGTAGCGCCGCAGCGGTGGTAAAATAACCTATCGCCACGCTTGTGACTCTTTCGTCAGTTAGGTTTACTAGCTAGTAGCTCATCCTCGCTCTAGCGAGGATTTTTTTTGCACTGGCAGATCCATTGGCATTGGCTGATGAAGAACATGCATGTACCAGCTTTAGCCTGTACGCGCGCTGGAGATGCCTGCCTTTCAATTTCTGCATTATTATTCCTTAGTTCTATGTTTGATCTCCCTCCGTCTGCCAATATTGTTTGCTTGAATTTGCTGCAAGAGTTGGAACGCGTGGTCTGCACAGAGAGATGCAGTAGTGCTTTCTTCAACCAAGCCGGAAGTAATAAGCAGTGCTACTGCTCCCTCAGCACGGTATTACTCCCTCTCTATCCACGAGTATGTGATTGTGAACGCTTCACCTTGAGTTCGTTCAGAATAGAGAAACCTGCAAGTAGTTATAAGTTGTAAAATGAAAACAAAACGGGGACTTTTTATCTGCAACGACTAACAGTACGCTAAACAGCAGTCGAGCACATTCTGATGGCCCCGTCTCACAGTGCGGAAGAACGACCCAATCATCGACGACATTATTAATTATATTATATATGCAACGATACAAGCATATGCATTATATTAGAGTGAGTGCTAGTTTTATTACTCAATAATACCAGCTTTTGTTCCTTCATCCACCACTGCAGACGTCCTCTTTGCCGAGTGCCGGGGGCACTCGGCAGAGCCAGCCAAGCACTCGGCAAAGGCTTTGTCGAGTGCCGCACTCGGCAAAGATTTTATCGGCAAAAATTTCTTTGTCGAGTGTCAAAAATCGACACTCGACAAAGCCTTTGCCGAGTGCCCGACACTCGGCAAAATTGGAACAAAAAAAAACCCGAAAAAATAGGAATTTTTACCCAAAAAAATGAAAATTTTGTTTTAATTGGTGGAGACCCCCACCGGTCAGCGCCCATCCATCTCCGGCTTTTTTCGCGTAAATTTCACGGCTACGCGGCCGACAGGATTCGAACCCGAGACCTCCCGCTGTGCACAAACCTCCTCTACCACTACACCACACTGTCATTTGTATCTGCATTCCATTTTAGTTCCTAATATATTGTACTAAACCGAGTGTAAATTATTTGTTTGAGGCTCTAAAAGAATTCAAATAAAAAAGTTGTGAACTACAAAGTTTCATAACTTTTCGAGATCTACACTTTTAGTTTAGGAAGTTTTTACATTCGAGGTCGTTTACAAAATTTGAATTTTAAAATTTGGAAATTCAAACGCAGTTTTGCATGACAAGATGTTTTCAAATCAAAAAGTTGCCAACTATAATGTTTCATAACTTTTCGAGATCTACAGAGTTTATTTTGGTTGTTTTTCCATCCGATGTCGTTTATAAAATTTGGATTTTAGAATTTTGAAATTCAAACGCAGTTTTGCATGACAAGATGTTTTCAAATCAAAAAGTTGCCAACTACAATGTTTCATAACTTTTGGAGATCTACAATTTTTATTTAGGAAGTTTTTCCATCCGAGGTCTTTTGAAAAATTCAAATTTTAAAATTTTCAAATTCAAACGTCGTTTTTGCATGACAAAATGATTTCAAATCAAAATGTTGCCAACTACAAAATTTCATAACTTCTCAAGATCTACAAAGTTTATTTTGGTCATTTGTTCATCCGATATAGTGGTAGTAACATTGTTCATAAATCATATATATCTCTCTTCTACTTTCATGAAACTAATATGAGAGATATATTTTATGAACAACGTTATTGTCGCTTTGTCAAATGAAGAAATGACCAAAATAAACTTTGTAGATCATAAGAAGTTATACAACTTTGTAGTTGAAAAGTTTTTCATTTGAATTCTTTTAGGGCCTCAAAAATTGATTCGAAAAACTGATTTGCCGAGGGCCAAAAAATGCACACGACAAAATGCCTCTTTGCCGAGTGACAAAACATAGGCACTCGACAAAATACGGCTTTGCCGAGTGCCAGAAAAAGGCACTCGACAAACTTAGAGTAAATTACTTGTTTGAGGCCCTAAATGAATTCAAATCAAAAAGTGGTCAACTACAAAGTTTCATAACTTTTTGAGATCTACAATTTTCATTTAGTAAGTTTTTCCATCCGAGGTCGTTTGAAAATTTTGAATTTTAAATTTGAGAGATTCAAACGTAGTTTTGCATGATAAGATGATTTCAAATCAAAAAGTTGTCAACTACATAGTTTCATAACTTTTGGAGATCTACAATTTTCATTTAGGAAGTTTTTCCATCCGAGGTCGTTTGAAAAATTCAAATTTTAAAATTTTCAAATTCAAACATCGTTTTTGCATGACAAGATGATTTCAAATCAAAATGTTGCCAACTACAAAATTTCATAACTTATCGAGATCTACAAAGTTTATTTTGGTCATTTGTTCATCCGACATAGTGGTAGTAACATTATTCACAAATCTTATATATATGTCTTCTACTTTCATGAAACTAATATGAGAGATGTAGATTTTATGAACGACGTTATTGTCGCTTTGTTAAATGAAGAAATGACCAAAATAAACTTTGTAGATCTTGAGAAGTTATACAACTTTGTAGTTGAAAAGTTTTTCATTTGAATTCATTTAGGGCCTCAAAAATTGCTTCGAAAAACTGATTTGCCGAGGGCCAAAAAAAATGCACACGGTAAAAAGCCTGTTTGTCGAGTGCCAAAACAAAGGCACTCGGCAAAATACATCTTTGCCGAGTGCTAGAAAAAAACACTCGGCAAAGACGTATTTTGCCGTGTGTTTTTGTTTGCCGAGTGTATTTTATTTGACACTCGGCAAACACGGTCTTTGCCGAGTGCCCGATAAAATACACTCGGCAAAGCCTCCGGCACTCGGCAAATCGCCGGTTTTCGGTAGTGATCCTTTTCTAAAAAAAATTAAGGTTTAAGCTATCTTATGCATTATATTAGGCCATTTGCCCTATATATAATATTGTTGGATTCATCACAATTCTACTACTCAGGTCTGTATGTAGAAGACACTACTGCGTCAACCAACCTCTAGGCGGCCATGTCAACACGTCAACATTCATCATGTTTCGGACCTCCTCAAATAAGCTATGAAACCATCATTTTGCTGATTTGTTGATCTCAGACCTGCTATCTGTGCTACTCTACCGCACTGCTGTCAACAATGGCACGACCATATTTATTTCCACTTGTAACCAGCTTCTCGCAAAGAAAAAAAGAAGAATGTCCATTGCGTTGCTTGTGAGCTTCTTAAATCACATAAGATATCAAAAACCAATATTATTTTCATGATTTGATCATAATATCAGCAATCTAGGGATTATTGTAGTGCAGGATCCTTGTAATACTGTTTTTTGTACTCATGCTTAATGAATTCCGTGCCTTAGCACGTTCGAGAGAAAAAATATCGACCAAATTCCCCTAGTAAATTCAATCCACGACCATTGAAATCAGAACTCTTTCTTTCAAAAAAAAAATCAGAACACTCTAGTTGGATTTCCCCCTCTGCGATGTTAATTGTGATACAAAACTTTCTGGTCACAATCATGGAGAACACAGCAACTTGGAAAAGCTTAGAGCTACGACGATCCGGAGTAAGCTTAGAGCTTTTTTTTTTTTTGAAACGATGGCAGGAGCTCTGCCTTTCAATTAAGACGAATGAAGTTTATATACATGCAAAAGGTAGCCAAGCATGGTGCCAAACACCACGAAAGGTTACCCACCCACGCAACGCGACAGAGTACACACTACCATGAGTCATCGTTGCTGAGTATAGTTGCAGAGCAGCTAGCAGCTCCGACTTCCCATGGCAAAACACCGACAACCCATCATAAGATGTCAGACCAACGGGCTCAAGCGATGAGGGCTGCAGCAGTTCGCGTTTGCCGAGCTCAACGGCCCCGCGAAGAGCAGCTCCGACTTCCTGCCATGATCCCACGCCCCGCCCGTGGCGATTGCCGAGCCTCTAAAGTTGAAAACCCAACCGTTGGAGAAGGAGGGTTGGACACGCGTCATCGTTGCCGAGCTACATCCCCTGATGCAGCAGCTCCGACTTCGTGATGCAGAACTCGCCGTCTCGCATCAACCGGGCGCCGAGAGGCGGAGGGCATCCGCCGAAGGAGACATCACGGCCGAGACGAATTTCCACAGCGACGCCTTCAGGAAGGTTACGACGCCGGATGCGTCGCCGTCGCTTGTCCAGGAAAGGACCGGGTTTTCACCCGTGGAAGACATGGCTGGGGGCACAAGAACACGACGCCCCCAACAAGGAAAACGGCGCCCATAGGCGTCGCCGTCGCCAAGGCTTTCGCCCGAGGTGCCCCTAGCACATACGTCGAGCCAAGATGCTGGACCGTAGCCTGTCGCCACCGTCGTCGTCACTGCCATCCCGCAGAAG